CAAAAAAGTAAAAAAACAATCCACTGGACTTTGTTTCCAAGTTTGAAGATGTTTCGCTTCTTATCCGGGAAGCTGTTTAATAAGAAATGTCAGGAATAGCTTTGAGTTCGAGGTTTTATACAGTAGCTCAACAAGCCCTTGTTTTTGGTTAGAAAACATGCAAATTGAAACGGACGAACTGGTCCTTCCCCTGGAATAGGGGTTGTCTGGCTTCTTTTTTTAGCCTGCAAACCCTGAAAGGGGGATTGTTTATGGGAAATGTTGGCATGGAATAATAGGCAATTTCTTTTAATTTTTTTTTTTTTTTTTATTTATTCCCCTGTATCACCGCAACTGGTGGGAAAAAAAAAAAAGACCTTGCCTATTCAGCCAGGGCTTGTTGGGCTACTGTATAAAGCCTCGAACTCAACGCTATTCCTGACATTTTGAATTGAAAAAAACTTCCTGGATGGGAAGCGAAACGTCTTCAAACTTCCCTAAAACAAAGTCCAGTGAGAAGCTTCCCAAGCACTTAACCGTTTATGTAATGTCATAATAAATAACTGACAGGTAGCTCACTGTATATGGAATACAGATATGACTTTAGGAAAATATGAGGTCAAATTATCTTAGCTTAACAATAACTAGATTTTTTTTTTCATTGATGTGCTGCATCTGCATGACTGAAAGAGATCTATTTAAAATTAAATAACGTGTCTTTGTCTCCTCAGAGAGGATGGAGCGTCTGTCCACCTGCGTGGAGATTTGGGCCAGTCGGATCTCCTTCATTCTCCCACCTCAATATAGAAGGGACAGGGGGTAGGAGGAGGAGGAGGAGGAGGAGGAGGAAGTGACTAACTTTCAACCCAGCAAGCAAACCAACAAGTTGTACAGATAAAGATGACGCCCCCCCTCACCCCCACTCGTCACACACAGAAGAAGAATCGGGCGGGGTGGACTGTGTGACTCTCCCTCCTCGATTAGCCGTCTGTTCTCCCTGCTTCTTCTCTCTCTCTGTTCCTTCTTTATCTGACTGGGATTGATCAGGCGCGCAGTGCTCCTCCTAGTGGATCTCTTGCAGCACTGCACTTGTCTTCTCTCCTCCCCTCCCAGGGCTGGTTTCTACTGTATGTAAAATTGGACAAGCCTCTCCCCCAAGTCTCCGTCTGTGCTGGTCATCAGGGAATCTTGTAAAATAACAGTAGATGATAAATATACATTACCTATACACACATGTATAATAAACATTGAAACAAGATCTTTGTTCTGAAAGCGAGAGAAAAGGCGCTCCGTTTGTCTGTATCTGTTTTTAATTGCCAACTGGCGCTGAAACTGAATGTTTGCATTTTTCTATAGCTGTGGAACACCAATTACAGGCCAAGCGAGAAATCTTTGTGAATCAGCAGGGCATTAGCGCAAACCCCTTACCTTTTATTTCAGACCCTTCCCTGTACATACCTGAGGATGTTTCTCATTCATTCACAAGGAATATTGGACTTGTGGATAACAGGGAACTGTGTCACTGCTACCTGTTTGTAAATACAATTTTGCCCCTGAAAGCTTGGCTGCTCCCTTTTCTGGCTCTGGGGGATTGGTCAGTTTGACAAAAAGGCAGGTTGGCTTGAGAAAACTGAGCTGTAAATCTTTTGGGAACTGAATTTTGCAAAGACTTAAGGGTTCACAATGTATGACTTGGACAAAGACTAATAAAAAAAAGAAACCTTGAAGTTGTCATAATTTAAAGTACTATAAACAGACTGTTTTAGCTCCTCTGTGGGTTTAACTAAACTTAATTTGTGTTTCATACTCTAATGCAGGGGCTCTAACCTTTTTAGAGCCATTTTTGAACCAGAGATGAATCATGTTACGGGATTAAGATGAACTTCACAAACTGCATTCAAGAGTTTATAAAAGAAAAAAATATGAAAGATGTCCTCCTTAATTGTATGTATGCATACAATTAAGGCTAAAACATTACCTTAAAAACCTGTGCTAATAATTTTGGGTTGCTTTAGACATTTTAAGCAGATATTGCATGAAAAAAGAGCTCTTCCTTATGGCCTTGATAATTAAAATAATTTTGTATCAGCTTTCGCTTATTGCCTCATGTAGCTTCAGTGTTTTAGGCCGCAGACCCTTGTACAAGGTTTTTATCTGCTTTTTTTTTGTTTTGTTTTTCACTTTGAAGAGGAGTCTGAATCAATGATTACTTGGTTAAGTTTATTAAAAAAAAATTCTAAAGTTGGATTTGGCACAACTGTTGGAAAATCCTTTGTGTAACTCGAGGGATAATAAAAGGGATTTTAACTCGTGTTTTAAGGACTATATTGGCACATGAATTGGACTAATTTTTAGACACTGGTGTACATTTTTAATTAAAAGAAATTGTATAAGTCAGATTGGATAAAACTCATTTTAAACCTCCAACCTAAAAAGGGGAAATTTCTGAGGTTTAAGTCTAATTTTATTAAAGTCTGAATTGAAACATTCATCCATTCATTACTGTAACCGCTCATTCCCTAACGGGGTTGCGTGGAGACTGGAGCTTATCCCAGTAGTCCATGGGTGAGAGGTGGGGTACACCCTGGATGGCCCCCCAGTCCATTGCAGGACCACACAGACATACAAAGATGAACCACTCACACTCCCTAAGGGCAATTTTGAATGTCCAATCAACCTGTATTAAAACATTTGAAAAAATGCTTTAAAACTCAAAGGGCTAAAGTAAAATTTGAATTCTATGTAAAGCACAGTGAGAAAAATCAAACTCTGCAAACCTAAATGTAATGTGTTTCTTTTGAGCTTTTTCAATTTACACAACACATTTTACTTAAAAATGAATTTTGTTAATATGCAAAATATTCAACGTCAAAAATCGTTAGGAGAGTCTAGTTGCAGACCTGCACTGTCAGGCCAGTGACATCGTAATTTTTACACATTATGGAAAACAGACCTCAAATATTATCTGGGGTTACTTTGTATGCAAATTACCTTGCAAGAGTCTGAACTTTCTTTGCTCATTGATATGTGTGTTTCAGAGGTGTCAAGTAACGAAGTACAAATACTTCGTTACTATACTTAAGTACACATTTTAGGCATCTAGACTTTACTCCATTACTTATTTTTATGATTAATACTCATTACATTTTCACACAAGTTTCTGTGCTTACTATTCCTTACATTTCTAAAACAAATGTTACTCGTTACTCTTGGCTTCGGTTTAATGCAGAGGTCACGGATTAGCGGACCGCTCTTATACAGGAAAATGCGTCCCTGTCGAGAGATGCATCCCCAGTCGCGGGAGCGCACCTCGCTCTGTACAATTATGGCCAATGGAGCTACATGTTATATAAATAATATAAAAACGTTTAAATATACCTCTCGTGGGAAAATTTGTGGTTATTTGGCAGATTCATTTACAATAGTACGGCTGTTATGAACAACATTAAAACCAAAGATTTTGTTCGAGGTACGGCTGATTTATTTTGCAGTCTCTTGTTATTCACACACAAGTGATGCTGACGTGAGTTTGGAAACAGCTTTGGCTTAAGCGGAAAATGAAACGCGCAAGGAAAGAGACATAAACGGAACAGAACTTAACTCGTACAATAATGTATTTATTCAGAAACAGTTTTGGCTTTCTTATAATACTGAATGCTCTATAATTGTATTGCACATCTGCTAGCTTTTTATTCCAAAAAATCTATAATATTACAGCAGCAAATTATCAAAGTTTTTTCAAAAGCCTGTTTAAAAGCTCCAAATGAGGCCTCAGATCATACAGCAAAAATTGCGCTGTCATTGTTTTACAGGGCAGAATTTGCATTTGCTGACCCTTGTCTTTTAACTACTGATGGATATACAGGAATACAGTCATACAAGTGTCTACTCCTCTCAGATAGCATGGGATTCCATTTTTGGCTATTTCTATTTTTTTTATTTAAAAATTCAGTGTATAAAATGAATGCATAAATACCTCATGTTAAATTCTGTTTAAAGTAACAGATCATTAAAATGTCTCTGGATCTTTACTGGTTGAGGAATTTCTTTATTCGGACCCCACTGATTTTTAATTGGTTACCCCTGGTTTAATGTTTATAAATACTTATTTCACCTCTTGGGCGCCATCCAATGCAGATCATTGGTGCCATCCACATCTAGTGAAAACTAGTGTAATTGGATGAGTCATATAACGCAAACACTCATTGCTTAGCTAAAGGAAATCATCAGAAGCAAGCAGGTGTTCTTCATACTGCAAACGTGAATTGTCTCTGCCATGCTACAATGTCGGATTCAGAAAAAGATGTTGAAATGTCTGAAAGGTCAGACACAGGTGAGAACGTATCGGGAGATGGAGACGGAGACCAACAAGACCTCCCTCATCCTTGGCCCTATATCAAAGAATTTTTCAAAATAGTTGAAAAATTGAGCTTTCAATTCATATAGCAGCATTTGGTTGTTTTTTTAAAGGTTACATTATACTTTTATACTTTAAGTAGTTTTTGGAGCACATTTTTTTTAAACTTTTAGTTGAGTAAAGAGGTAAAGTTCATACTTCAACTTTTACCAGAGTGTTTTTAAACTGCATTATTTATACTTCTGCTAAAGTAACAAATGTGTGTACTTTTGACACCACTGGTCTGTTTTAGAAAAGGACACAGATCCAACCAATAACATGAGATTAGAATCTCTTGTGGTTAATGAATACAAAACCAGAATCAGCTGAAACCTACATATTGTTTTTAAACCTGGGCTTGGCTTTTTTTCATACACATTCATTCATCAAGAACACTGCGTAGAAAATTTTAAAATTTTTTCCACAGAAAGTTAGGGAACAGTAATGTGGCTTAAAAGCAGTGTCTGCAGTGTTCTTTACAAATTTCTCTGTCGTCGGATAACATGCCCTATTCAGGTATTTGATGTAAATTTGATCCTGTTTTGTAATAAGTTTACCTGACAGTAAGAAATTCCCTTAATCCTGGTAGAATTAGGATCTAACTACCATGCTTTATATTATCTCAGTGTATCTTAGTGTATTTTCAAACAACAGAGGGCAGCCTTCATCACTTTGCATCCATAAGGCCTCTAATATACAGTTGATGAGAAAAAAAGACTTTTTTTGTGTTCACATGTGTTCCTTCCCTGTTATTTTTATTCTTTTCTTTTTTTTTTTGGATCATTCTTCTTTGTTCGTTCATGTATTCCTTCTCTATTCTCTTATCTGTCCTAGTTTAATTCCTTTATTCAGTCATCAGTTAGTTCCTCATTCCTTTGTCCTTCAATCGTTCCGCCCTATAATCTGCCATTGCTCTGTCTTCATTCCTTCCTCGCTTCCTTTCAATATTTCTGTCTTCCTTTTGTCCCTTGTTATTTACTACTTTCAACGGTATTTTCTTTCTATCTCTGGCTTTCTCAGGAAACAAATAAAAAGTTTAAACAGTGTAGCAATTATTGTTATAAGTTGTTGACTTTTTATATTTATGTGAATTTCGACCAAATGCCTGATAGCTGTGAGAATTTGTATCTGTATTAGTAATGCAAGAAAAAATAAAATAGGTTAAGATTATCTTTACCAAAGAACAGTTCTTTTTGATGATGAAACAAAAACATCAAAATGAGAAACTCAATTTCACTAAAGACTTGAGGTTGTAATTTAGTTTATTTCTAATAGTGCTAATTCACATGTCACTTCAAGGCACTTTATAGACAGAAAGGTTAAAAGTTTTGTAGCCAACAGTTTGCATCAAGTCATTGATTTAGCAGAAAACGGTCACTCTGGATGAGCATAGTGACATCAAACATTAGCTTGCATTGTATTGTAGACATTTCAGCAATCCCTCACACTCAGCATTCATGCAGCTACAGTGGAAAAACTCATTTTGAACAGGGAGAAACCTCCAGCAGAACCAGCCTCAGTGTGAGCAACCTTCTGCCGAGGCTGGCTGTTGGTTCAATGAGAGAAAACCAGAGAAAGAAACTGTGATCAAATACTTGCAATAATACAGCAAACTAGCTCCATAAGTGGCTCTGTGTAGGTAATAAAACAGTTGATGAGCTCTGTGCAAGTTTTCATGTCACATCAAATTAAAAGCTATAATCTACAACCCTATAGGTTATTCAATTCAATTCAGTTTATTTATATAGCTCCAATTCACAACACAAGTCATCTCAAGGCACTTTACAGTTCTCAAGATCATACAGTCAAATTGATTCAAAGTTTTCTATCTAAGGAAAACCAGTAGATTGCATCGACTTATTGACTAAAATAAAATCCCTCACACTAAGCATGCTTGTAGAGACAGCGGAGACGAAAAACTCCCTTTTAACAGGAAGAAACCTCCAGCAGAACCAGGCTCTGCTGAGGCTGACTGGGATTCAAAGAGACAGAAGCAGAGATACAAAAAGCAGCTGTAAAAGGTGGCCCCGTCCAGGAAACACACAGTCAGGCAGAAGAGCACCGAGCCAACTCCCATGTCAGAGGATGAAGAGAGCACATCCAGCCAGTGACGGTTAGAGAAACAGGACTACACTGGAAAACAGGCTGATCTCCAGCATCTATAAACAAGGGTGTTGATGGAAGCAGCACAGCTGATATTCCTCTCCAGGATGGCGTCACAGCCAAACAGGAACAGACGAGGCAAAGCTACTATGAGAAAAAGAAGAGAGAGCATAACGTTAGAGATTGTACTAAAAGATTCTGCAGATTAGGAGGACAGAGATAGAA